GCTTTACAACTCGATACGGCCTTCCTTTAGTGTACGAACAAAGAACACTGTACAGGCGTCTGCTGGTTTCCTTTGCTTCTGTAGACATCTCGGCCATCTTCACTTGCTTATCATCTTTTAGGTTCCTTTCTGCGATGTCCATGATCTTCACCATGTTGGAATCCACTGCTCCAAGCCAGATCCGCATCCTGTTCCTGAACTCTGTCCATCCACTCTTCTCTTCTTGCCATGTTCCTGGGGAAAATGCTTCGGGGCTTTTAATCAGCTTGTGCAACTCCACTTCTCCAGGCTTTCTTTGTTCCTTTACTGCTTTCTCCAGAGATGCTCCTATCTCCTCAAGTGTCGTTGCTGCGTTCGTGTGGGCGTCTGCCAACGCTGTTTGCGCTGTCTTCTGCTGTTCCTGAACTGCTGTCAGGGTTTCCTGGAATGCTTGTGTAAGTCCTGCTTCTCTTTGACTTCCTGAAGCTGCTGAGTTCCTGATCTCCTCTGCTAGTGTTTGTATTCCTTGTAAGGTCTGTGCATTGATCTCGGCAAGTGCCTTCAATGCATCCTCCATTCCTTTTGCTGTTTCAAGGTTGCTGTACACTAGTGCTGCTAAAAGTAGCGACTTGCACTGTTTCCTGCACACTGCTTGTGCTCTCCTTTCTCCTCTTGTCTTCCTTTGGTGCTTTGAGCGGTTGCTTGCTCTTGCGAAAAACACACTAGAATAGTACGACAGGGTGATCCAAGTAATCAGTCCCATTGGGGTTCCTAAGAACACTGCTATGCGAATTCCTTGAAATACAACTCTGTTGGAAATGACTTCCTGAACTATCACATGCACGACGTCGTGAAACTTCTTTCCTACGGTTGCTAGCTTTTCTACGAAACTGTGAACATGTTCCTGTACAACTTTCCTCAGTACTTCTCGCTGTTGTTTTACTAGGTACCTAGGGGCGTAGCCTGACTCAAGGCTCTCACTCTCCTGGTTCTCGGTGTTCTGGTTGCCGTTCCTGTTCTCTTCCGTGTAGTACTCGCCGGTCACGCTAACGACGCTGTAGAGCTCGTTCATCACTTGGTTCACGCACAACAAAGCGTACGGTACCATGACTTTTCCTATCTCCACATAGTCCTTAATCGTGTACGCGTTCGTGTTCCTGATCGTGTTCACGTTGGTGCCGTCGGGGTTCACGCTGCACTCGTTGTAGCCTTGCTGGTAGTACTCGCCGTACACGTCGTAGTTCCTGTAGCGGTTCCGGTGCGTATTGGGCTTCCTTCTGCTCGACCACACTACCATGAGCTCGCTCTCGTCGCTCTCCACGTAAGTGAGTTCCTTTCTCCCACGGCTCACATCCTTGGAGGGTAAGGCGTCTCCAAGGGCAAGTTCTTCCTTGGTCTCCACGTTGTTGCCAAGGGCCTGCCACGGTCTCACCGCCATACTTCCTGCTCCTGGGACCAAGATCATCCCGCACAAAGTTGCGAGGCTTCCCAGTGCGAAACCAACCAGCAGCACCATACATGCTGCCAAACCGTAGCACTTCATGTTCCTTTTCTCTCTCTCTTCCACCAACACTCGGTCGGGGTAGCAATCGGCGCAAGCGTCAAAGTCTCGCGCGTTTCCTGCTGTCACGTTGTGGTTGCGAAGGTGTCCACAACCTCTGCGGTGGTACTTTGTTCCTGAACGGACTGCGATCCTGAGCGTGGGCATGTTGAGCACTGTCTCTGTCTTCTTGGTGATCTGCTCATTTGCGCGCATCTGCTTCCATCCGGCAACGAGGCAAACTGCCATGGCGCCGAGCATCATGGTTCCTATGGCTACGAGTAGCATCATCGCTGCCAAGGAGGTTCCTGGAGGCAGCTCCGCTACCATGTTAAAGAACGGGCTTCACTAAGGGTTCCTACCCACAAAGACTGTCGGACACTTTTGTTCCTGGGCACGGTGTGTCCTGGGGTCTCGAGCCTGCACGTCGCGTGTGCGTGACGGCTGTTCCTGTACATTAACTGTACTGCACTAGCTGTGTTACTGTTCCTGGCAGAATGTTTAACACTAAACACCTCCGACAGAGTGGGATCCTGCTGATAGGCCGACAGGAGGGCCTCCTGATTGTAGCTTGGCCCACGTCTTCGACAGGCCCTGACCTGCCAGCGGGTGGAGAGGCTGCCAATGATAGCCCGATGCTTGCCATCTAAGCGCCAGTCTGCAATAGGAAATTCCTGTAATGGAAGGCAGCCTTTAGCGATCTTATCAGCATCCGACACACGCACAAAGACAAAGTCAATCAAGGTCCGAGCATCCCCCATGCTGTAGGTGTGAGCCTGTTTCTTGGGTCCCCGCCATGTGTTTAATGCACAGAGATCATGAGTCATGACGACCTTAAGTAGTGCTGAAGAGTCAGTGGCCTGCTGGCGTTCAGAATCTCGCAATACGACTCCTGTGCCCACATGCCTGTCCTGAGCCGGCAGTTGCACATTGCAGTCGCCACAGACAAACAGGAGGTTTCGGCGAGGCAAGCGCCGCAGCACAACATCCAGCTTCTTCCAGATGCCCGCGCGCGCCTCAAGCAGTTGCGCTCTGGGTTTTCGAGTGTCCCACGGGTACTGGTAAATGCCAATCAGGTCGAGCGAGCGATCATGTTCATGAGGTCCGAACGGGACTCGCACATGTAGGACTCTCCCCGGTGCCACCACATCGTACCTGATAAGTTCATGCGACGCAAGCTTACCCCTGACCATGACCAGGATGCCCGTGTAGGACTCAGACTCGCAGCCAGAATGCACGCAACTCCAGCCCGATGCCCTCCAGGTAGACTCATGCTTCCAATGTGTTTCTTGTACGATGACAGCTGAAACATGCTCATAGGCAGGCGTGTCTAGCAGCAGGACTAACTCATCGAACATGGCAAGACTCAAGCCTCCAGCATTCCATGTGAGGACGAAGAGCCGTGGCGACAGGCGAGAACGCCCGCCCACCACTCCACGATGTCGCCTATCACATTCTGGGACTTCCTCTGTTGCTTGCACGCGCTGTGCCTGCAAGGAGCTAGCAGTGTGCCATTGGCCTCTGTAGTACGTTCCACCTCGAAGCAATGCCCTGCCACACGCACGCTTGTATGCGCGTTTACGAACAGCTCCAAGGTAAGGGCCAGAAGTATCAAAAACCCCACTACGCTTCGCACAACCAGGAACCGCACTATGATCGAGTACATTACTGTGTTGAGGTCCTGACTGTACTCCAGACAGCGCCGTGGGAACGCTGTCAACTCGCGCACCTGTGACGGGAAGATAGTTGCTCTGCAGTAGCATCATCATGAGGAGTCGCCTGAAATAACTCGGCGAAGTACTCCCGCCACCCCTGGACTTGAGACCAGGGCAGCTCTTTGCAGGTGCGTGCTTGTGTGATTCACGCTCGCACCTGTGCATCCTAGATTTGGGTCCAGCGCAGCGCCTTTGCTGCGTCTCCACCGTGGGGACGCTTGCAGTTCTACAAGTGAATGGACAGCACGTTGACTGAGGGTTACGCCTACAACCAAAGCCAGCAGGAGACCTAGGCAGCAGACCCAGTACACCTATTCCAGCAATCCAACGAAAGCAAAATTTGCCAAGACAGGTTCGCATGATGACAGTGAGGCCGCGGCGCTTGTCAGCTGCACGAAAATTCGGCATCAGTGCCCGAGTCATCTGTATCCAGGATCGTGGGTGATGTACTGTCTTCTGTTTCTGCATCCTGTGGTAGCTCATGCAACAAGTCAGCAAGCGGAACTGGTCTCTGCATGCTTCGAATCTGCCGCGCCAAAATCTCGTAGACGTCTTCATAAAATTGCTCTCTGTGATCCCCCTCCAGAAGAAAATGAAACAAGGCCAGGGTCTGGACCATGTCGCGCTCAACAGTCTCACGCTCCAGCTGTGTAAAGATATCACTTCTGGCTTTGGGGTCAGGATTAGGAAACTGTCTGAAATAAGCCATAATGCCAGCATCTGTAACTGCCCACTTTGGAATGCATCGAAAACGCAGGTAAAACGCAAGCTGTCCATGATCCAGCGCCTCGGAGGGCCGTCGCTCCAGAATGGGCGTGCGGCAACGCCGCGCTTCAGCTCTTCCGTTTGCCAGCACTGGCCAGGGCTCCCGCAGAAAATTGTATGCTTCGTCCATTCTTGCTCAGGTTCAGCAGCAGCGTCCAGGAGCAATGCTGTCTGATTGGTCGCAGAAAGAACACCAAGAAGACCACTAATCAGCAGCAAAAGAAAAACCATTCGCAGAGAAGATGCAGAGCCGGAAATTGTTGTGTTTCCCAAGTGCACGGCTACACCAAATCTGCAATATGGAAAAAGGATCCTCAGAGGCAAAGCAATGGCTGAGGTATCCTATGGCGCTCCCACCTCTATGCGTGCTGCAGGTCTGCCTGAGCACCGTCTTGCGCTAGCCGGGTGCGCCCAGTCACCAGCGCAAGGAACTGCAAGCTACCCCTCCCCAAACACTACAAACAAAACTCGAGCCGAGGTGCTTGGTACATGGAGTCTTGCGATGCGGCTCCAGGATCGTCGGCCTCCGATCCAACCCTCGCGTCTGCAGGCTCTCTTGCACTTGTGTGATTTGCAAAATGCGGCCTGCCCCTGGACTTGGGACCAGGGCTGGTTCCTGTGGTCATCATGTACGGTAGCTCTGTGGTATTCATCAGGGGTGTGCGGCATGAGGACAGGAGCGTGCGGGTTCAGCGTGTGTCCTAATGCGAAAGAAGAGACAATCTCAAGCGCAGGCTCACTCAAAACCGCAGGTCCAATCCCTAACTCGGTTTCAAAGTGCAACGCAGGAACTCTCTGAGGTTGCGACGTGGCAGGCACGAACTCCGGTGCATGCGGGTTCAAGGGCGCTGCAGCACCCGTTGACAGCACGCGGTGAAAATCGTGCTCATGGTTCGTGGTCGGCTCCATCTGCAAAACACTGAAAGATGAGAAGCACGCACCCAAAATCAAGCTGAAAATCAAGCTGAAAATCAGATTGGCAAATGGCAACCGTGCTGAACTCATGGGTCGTGAGGGACGTGGCAGGCAAGTCTGCAGTCCAGCGCCTGCTCAGCTTCAGCAAGCACAGCCGGGTATGCTTTGCCAACGAAAGCAATCAGCTGGAGGCACTCTCCGCGAGGCAATGTCTGCAATGCGTCGAGAAAGAACTTGCTCACTGAAAGAGGTGCCCACAAGTTGGCAGCTAAAGTCCGGGCGTAAATGCTGTCGTTCACAACACAGACCTCGCCAACTAGTTCGCAGGCAAACAGTTTGGTATGCTGCACTGGTGTAAGCAATGACGTGGCTGCAAGATATGGCACTACGCGTGCTCAGGTAGCACGATCAGCCGCTACCCCGCCCCGCTACCCGCCCCTACACCTCGCAAGGGTCGAACGAACTGGGCAACACGGGGAAAACCACACGGAGGAGGGGAAACCCGGGTGCCCTGAACAAACCCAAACCCAGACCCGAGCGAGGGCCCACCGCTACCAGTTCGCTTGAACCGAGACGCTTCCTGAATAAAACAAAGTCTGATGTCTACATGTCGCATTCTCCGAAGGAACCCCTCCATCCCGGCAATCTGGCGAGCAGACGCGCTGTCGGTGTAGATGGCGAGGGGCTTGGCGATCTCGCCCCAGATGTGAAAAGCCAGCTGACCTAAACCGGCAATTTCCTTAGCGGCCTCGGCAATGGCAAAGAGTTCGGCTTCGACAGAGGATAAGGCAACTACGGTTTGTAGCCTACTGTAGCCCTTTACGCAATACCACAGGGAACCGGCCACTACGTAGATAACCCCACCGCTAGTACTCTTCTTCCCGGTGCTACTTTCACTGCCCCAGTTGCTGTCACAGAACGCCACCAAAGTGGCACCTTCTTCTTCCAAAGTCTCCCCGCTCCCGGCGGGAAAAACCTGATCGAGCAACGGACAACCGACCAACCACCGAAGAAATTTCCTTAGCGCATCCTCGTGCACCATCCTTGGTGCAGCTTGCCCTCTCGAAAGCATAGAATGGAAATATGTGATGTCAGTGCGCGTCTGGGTCAACCACCCAATCTTCCCAAGGCAGGACCTGAACCTACCCGCGGCTTCCGGAAACAAAGAGGGCGATGGGGATTCAGGATCCTCAGCATCGTACAGAGCCCTAATGTCAGGGGTTGTGGCCACAGGTTTGACCTTAGCCAGGTCCTTCTCGGTCCACCCAAAGGCAGAGAAGACTGAACGCACGTACTCAGGTTTCACCCCAAGGGTGATGTTGTTCCCATCTAGCTTGATAAGCCGTCCTAAAAACTCAAGCTGGCCATCTTCATGGAGCCTCCCAGTGACCTTTACCTTTAGAACCGCACTCAGGGACTTGTGGATAAACTCAACCCCCTCTTGGCTGTCGGAGACAATCAACAAATCATCCACATAAGCTAGGGCGATGATATACGTCCACTTCTTTCCCAGCTGAACCCATCCACTAAAGAGCGTGGGCTCGAGCGGCGAGGCTTTGAGACCCAGGCCGACCATAATCTTACCGAGGTGCCTTTGCCAACTTAGGCTCGCGCTGCGCAAGCCATACAAGGCCTTCTCTAGGATCAAGAACGCGGTGCCTCCGCCCTCTAGGCAGAAAGAGCTCGGAAGCTCCACCACAGTGGGTTGAACAACGTTCGCAAACAGGAACGCAGTAGAAATGTCCAAACCCCAAACCCGCATACGACCCTTCGCGGCTCTCGAGAGTATGAGCTTGAGTGCCTCCACACTCGCGGTGTTCGAAGAGAGGCCAAGATCAAGCGCAGAGGGTCTGCCGTGTGCGAAGTCTTTCGCCACGAGGCGTGCCCTGACAAGCCCTGGGGCTTTCTGCGTCAGCACCCACCGTGACTTTATCACGCGGCACCCTGGGTTCTCTTCCTGGTAGCGGTCAACCTCAGACCTGGAACGAAGGAGGCCGACTTGCAAAGAGTCGACGGCCTTGACCTCAGTCTTCATTCCTTCCCAGCTCTCTTTGTTGTCTAGCTGGATTCCATCGACGTCGTCGTAGGAACTTCGAGGCCTGGAGACCCAAACCCAGCGATCCCCAATGGGCATATATGTGCCCTCTTTCTCTTGATCTTGATCATTGCAAGCAGGCGGATCCGACCGACCAACCGACCGACCAACCGACATGCTCACGCCCGACCGACCAACCGACACGCTGTCGCCGCTCGACCGACCAACTGGCACGCTCAAGCCCGACCGACCAACGTCATGCTCCACACGTTCATGCCCAAGCAACGCAATGCAAGAGTACGGCAACTTATCGCAAGAGGAGCGGCCGTCGACAAGCAACGAGCAAAACGCTTGCAAATCATACACATCACACGCGGTCAAGGGAGTGGGAACGTAGCGGACGCAGCCGCAGGCCCACATTTCCTCCAATAACCGAATCGCGGGGCGATCATCCTTCGGTGCCTCGGCGACACCCATCAGATCATCTTCTCCCTCGTCCTCGGAGGGCAACGAGGGCTCGTAGTCACTAAGATGGTCGTTGGCCTCCGCATTGATCTGTGGTACTTCTACTTCTTGCTCTGAGGGCGCCGAGGGCGCTGGAAACTCACGAACTTCCGAATCACCGAATCGAACCCGCTTGGCCGGTGGGCCTTGAGCGGGCGGAGGGTCCCGATCAAGCTCTTCAAGAGCGTTGTCCACAGCATCTCGGAGCCACCGCTGGTAGCGCCGGACGCACTTTATCGAATGGCGAGAGGACGTGGCCTCTTCGGAGCATCCGGGGCACTTTGGGGTGCCACCGTGCTCGCGGATCCATTCTTTGGAGGGTCCCCCTCCCGGCACATAGGGAAGGTGGAGCTCACGAAAGCGCTCCTCATCCAAAGGTGGCACAAAGCCTTCCAGAGGCCTGGCACCGTCAAGCAACGAAGCATCATATCGAAGAAGGTAGAGCAACTTCAGACCCGGCGCAACAATCAACTTGGTTTCTCCAGAATCTAGCCGGATACGCACCTGGTGCCCGGTAGAACCAAGCACAGGACCCAGGTACACCCCGCGGGCGTACTTGGAATCAATCTCCTCTTTGCTAGAACGGCTGACCTTTGCGAAAACGACAGCCCCGAAGGGATAGGTCAACTGGGGCTTGTGGTCGTGGCCCCGCAGCTTCTGCAATGGAGACATGGTGCTCCCAACCGACACTGCAAAGCGATTGTGCACATGTGCCGCGTATCTGAAAAGAAACTCTAAAGTACCCGGATCATCCCCGAGCACAACACCATTTTCACGAAGTTGTAATTCATGAGAAGACACAATTCCTTTCAAGGTCCGCACTGCTCGTTCAGCAACGGGAGCGTGGCGCTCCGGAGCAAAGCTTTCACTGTGTCCCTCATATCGTTCCGCTAGGGCCTGTGCGACGCTGATGGTCAGCGGTTCCGGATCTGAGTAGAAGGAGGGCTTAGGAACAGCGCTCTGGCCTAACCCAAAGTGGGCTAGCCACGGCTCGAGATGCCCGGCTGATTCGCGTCCACTCATCCCTTCTGGTCGGAACGTCACTCCAATCGCAAAAGCAAGCACATGCACTAGAATGATAAAGCACCTTGAGCGATACATGAACTGATCTACCTGATACTCCTTATCGGGTCTGTCACTTCGCATGCGGGCTGGCGTCAGCCCTCGGCTTCTGTTGCAAGCTTCACAGCTCGCCCAGTATGGGACGTGACCCTGAGAGACATGTGACAGGCGCTTGTGCAGCTCACGGCGTGTCTCCGGATCTTGTGACATGATCAGCTCTCCTTGCCCTGCTGCTAAACCCAAACCGGCCGGACCCTCTGGTTGCGTATTGGGCTCCTTGTTGTGATTCTTCTGGTTGAGGGGGTCCTCTTCCTGCATCGGGGCAACAACCGCAGCGGAACTGAAAACTGAACATGGCTGACCGCAGAGCTCGCATAAAGCGTGCACTCCAGAATGTTTCCACGCATGCCGGTGCGTTGGCAAAGCAAAAAGGCCATTGTTCATGGCGTCGGGCTTCGAAAGCTGTGAGAAAATTACAGGCTCGGAGTGCGAGAACGTCCCCTTGGCGGACGTGGCGGTGGGTTGATAACCCACATTCCCGGTGGAGGCCGTTGGGCTTGAGGTAGGCCGGCTCGTAATAGGAGCAGGAGGTGGAATCGGCAGTGCGGTGCGCGGACGCACTCGCCGAGATTCTGTGGCCATCTCCGCTGCAACCCTCCAGGAGTCTGCTTCTGCCTCCGTACAGATGCCGAGCCTCATTCTCGTGTAGAGACTCTCGCCGCTGGGCGAACTCAGCACTGCACCCGGAGGCGGGTAGCTGCGTGGCACCCACGAATATGTTGGTGGAGCCGACTCCGGTGGTGGCGGAGGTGCCGGAGGCGGCACACTCGGAGACGCAACGGGCGGTCCGTGTCCTCCTCCGCAGGTGCCACCAATGGCGCCTGCTTGGGCGGCGTCTTGGGCATCATAGACCCGATCCCCTTCGGATCCCCTCTGTGGTTGCTGATCCCCGCGTCCAGCCTGTGCTGGCTCGGCTTCCAAGTACCCCAGTCCTCCGAATCCGGCGAACTTGGAGGCGTCCACCCTGGGGGTGTCTTCACAGGCGACCCGAAGACGGCCTGAGCTGCCACTTCCTTGCTCAGTGGCTGTAGTGGCTGCGCTCCCTCCAGCTGTTGGGTCGACCGCAGCTGGACTCCCAGAGTGTCCGGCCAAGGCCGTCCCCTGGCTTTCACACGCCGCGGCTCCGGCTGTGATGGAAGCACACGCCGCTCCACTGCTCGTGGAGGCTGTGGTGGTTCCGCCCAGATTCCAGGAAGTGTATTGCTGGATGTCGCTGTGGCTTCCGAAGCACCCGCCTTCGCCGGTGGGTTGCTGAACCCGGGAAGACGGAGAACCAGCTCCCTCGCCTTCTTGATCTCGGGCTCGGTCAAGTCCGGCATACGAAGTTGGATCATCATCTCGACCCTCTCGGGGTCCGAAAGCCTGTCCGGTAGCAGCTTCAAACCGGGGCGGTTCCTCGCGACCCACGACTGCATGAGATGATTGTGGCTGGCCGACATCAAGTGAGCCTCCGTCGCGTGTTTTTCCCGCAAACCATGCAGTACTCGCAATAGTTGCGGTTGTTGTGGCTCAAGGCCTGAGGGCTCGACCATTTCGCCTCTGGGGCAACGTAGGGAGGGCTCCAACTGAAGCTGTTGACCCGGTCCGCGAGAGTCACTCCCGTCGCCTTTGGGGCAGGTGGCCCCTCTACCTCCTCGTCGGAGGATATCTCCATTGCCTCCACCCGGCCTGTCCAGCCCTTCTTCGCACTGGCCTTCATCAGCTAAACCCTTAAGGCTCAATGCTTGTGCCCTGGCGATCTGCGGAAATCCCCTGTTCACCCACATTGTCGCTCGAACTGCACACACCGTCATGCGCAACCGACCGACCAACCAACCGACCATGCATGCCAAGCACACGCTCTTCAGACTCACTGCACGCAGGTTGCACTACAGAAACTGGCTGCACCGAAGAGTTACTAAAACCTGGCTGCACCGACCGGCCTCGATCGGAAGACGTGGCCCCCGAGCACAAAGGTGAAGAAGATGAATCCACATGCTCCTGGCACAAACGGCGATCCTGACAAGGCTTTCCTACAGCACTCGACTGCAAAAGCTCTACCACTCTAGCAGGCAACTGACCTACCAACTGCACTCCAGAGCTGCCGCAAGACGACTGACCTACCAACTGCCCGACAGAGTCCTCGCAAGCATGCGGCAAAACACTCGGTTCAACATGCGTTGTTTCATGCTGTTGTCGTGAAAAATCATGCCCATGCTGTGAAAAATCATGCTCATCATGCGAAAACTCATGCTCATGCTGTTTCTCAGGCGAGGAAAACTCAAAAGACCGACCACTCGACAGACCGGAAGACGACGAGACACTCGCAAGCGTGAGCTTCGTGGAAGAATCAGCCATCACACTCTGAAGCCATGTGCAGTCGCCGAACACTGCTGGAAGCAGCGTCACCCCTACCTCCTTACGTTCCGCTGTTAAGCGACCGCGGTAAAGGGTAGGCTTCCAGCCTCTCCAACAGAGGAGGTTGAGGTTTATCAGGTTATGTTTGATTTCGCTGCTAGCTACCGCTTCTAGACGGCAGGTGCACGCAAAAGTGCTCAGAACTCCTCGTCGCTGCTCACAGTGTCGAGTGGTGAGAAAATTCACCTCGATCGTCGCGTGGGTGTCGCTTCCCACTTCCACCAGGTCGCCAGTGGCAGTCTGGCACACAGTCTTCGGTCGCTTCTTCCTCGACAAAACCTTGACGTGTCCACTCTCAAGCGTCGCCTGGGAAACCACATGGTACGAGCTCCCAGAGTCGAGAAGCCAATAGATCTTCTCTCCTGACTCAACGAAGGAAGGTGCGACCATGGGCATCGCAAAGTACGATCCCTCAAGGAACGTTCTGACGCCCTTCTCTGTTCCCTTCCCAACGTCGCCCTTCGTAGTGGGCTGGTTGCTCGGCGCCTTTGGCGCTGCCTTGGCAGCTGCAGCGCTCCCCGAACTCTCAGCACCGCCTGTCGTCACAGTGGCGTTGGCCTCGTAAGGGGAAACCGCAGCGGCTTGCTTCAGCCAACAGTCGCGGGCCCAATGTCCCTTCTTCCCGCAGTGGTGGCAAACGTCGGTCTTCTTGGCCTTGCTCTTGGCACGTGCAGCTGAATGTTAAAGAACGGGCTTCACTAAGCTTCCTACTCTCAAACTGAAGCGGTCACTTTTCCTTGTGGGTCACTGTGTCCGCTGGTCTCGAGCCTTGCACGTCGCGTGTGCGTGACGGCTGTTCCTGTACATTAACTGCACTGCACTAACTGTGTTACTGTTCCTGGCAAGATGTTTAACACCCCGCCTTCGGAGTTAGCGAAAGTTCCTCGACTGAGGTGACTCCGACTTTTCCTGTCAACAGTAAACACACTGCAGTTCCTTTTCACTTGCAAAACAAACACTCTGCCTCATCGCAAACATATGTTCCTATGTTCACTCGCAATCCTCTCCAAGGTTGCTCGACTGTACAAAAGACGTTCCTTTACTATACTTAGATCACCACAGAAACAAAAAGGGCTGTGCCACGGTTCCTGTGTCCTGCTGCTTCTTTCCTCGGCTCTCTGGCCTCAGTACTGCTCGCTGTTCCTTTGCTTCACTGGAAGGTCACTTCGCCGTCGTCGACCTTGTAGACTTTTACTCCTTCTTCTTCGTTGCTGACTTCTTTCTGTTCCTTGAGTTCTTGCTCTAGCCACTCTGCACGCTGCCTTGCTTGTGCCATGCACTTCTCTTTTCCTTGCTTGTCTCTTGATCCTGCTTTCCAACCTGTTTCCTTTGATCCGGAATACCAGTACCACTGCGTCTTGGCTTCGTTCCACTTCCACTGGTAGTTCCTGTTCTGGAAACCGTAGACTGCAAACCAGTTTCCTTCAAACTCTCCTTTTCCTTTGCCCTTCATGAACGATTCTTCGTTCACTGGTCCTTTGGCGGAAAGTTCTGGGTCGTCCTTTCCTCCTTTCCTTTGCTGCTGCTGTGTGACACTTGGTGGCTCCTTTCCTGTTCCTTTTCCTTCTTGCTTCTCCTCTTCCTTTGCTGGTGTTGCTGGTGCTGTGTCTGGTTCCGTGGGTGCCTGCGACCCGGCTGCTGATCCTCTGCTCTCAAGCTCCTGTGTAAGGCTTGCAATTCTTTCTTTATCCTCTTTGCGTTCCTTCATCATCTCCTTCATCATTTCTTCAAGCGTCTGGATCCTGTCTGCTTCTCCTGATCCTGTTGCTGTTGATGCTGCTGCCTTCTTCTCTGCTTCCTTCTTGGCAATGTACGCTGACGATGCCTTTTGATCTTCCTCTCTCTTCTTCCTGGCTTCCTTCTCTTTTCTTTTCTTCTCCTGTTCCTTTCTTTCCTTTTCCTCTTTGGCTGCTGCGGCTGCTGCTTTTTCCTCTTCTTCTTTTGCTGCCGCTGCTTCGGTCTCCTCCTTTTCCTTTGCTTCTCTCTCTGCTTTTGCTTTGGCTGCTGCTTCTACCTCTCGCCTTCTCTCGGCGGCTGCGGCTGCTTCCTGTCTTGCTGCTTCCTTGTCTCTCTTCTCCTGCTCTTCTGCTGCCTCTTCCAAAATCCTTCTTGCTTTGGCAATCTGCTCCTCCTTTGCCTTCTTCTCCTCTTCTGCTTTGGCTTTTGCTTCCTTCTGCTCCTTTGAGATTTTGTCCTGTTCATCCCAGTATTTGCGATCATCTTCATCTCGAGGTCGAAATCCTGTGCTTTCTGCTCTTGCCTTTGGCTTTCCTTTTCCTTTTCCTTCCTTCTTTCCTTTTGTTCCCTTCTCGTGCTTGTACGTGTAGTCCTTGTCGATGTGGATCTTTTCTCCTGTGACTCTGTGCTGCTTGTAGATCTCGCCGTTCTCGGAGTATTCCTTCCACTCGCTGCTGTAATCGTAGGGGTACGGAAACTGCTTCTTTTCCTCTTCTTTTTCCTTTAGCCTTTGCTTGCTTCTGGCGTTGATCTCCGCGATCTTCTTCTTCCTTCTTTCTTCCTTTGCTTCCTCGCTTTCTTCTTCCGCTGCTGCTGCTGTTCCTTCTTCTGCTTTGGCTTCTTCGGGGTACTCCCCGGGATCTTCTCCTCCAACGTAGCTGTCCACGTAGGCCTCGTTCTCGTTCTCGCCGAAGTAGTCCTGGCTTTCTTCCTGTTCTTGGAGTCCTTCGAAGTAGCTCCTGTCTGACCAGTTCCTTATATCGTCTTCTCCTTTGTGTTCCTGGGAGTTAGGTGACGTAGCTCTCGAAGGTGCTGTTCCTTGTCCGTGTCCTTCACGACGTAGTTCACCTTCTAGTTCTCGGTCCTTGGCTTCTCTTTTCCTTTGTTCCTCTTCGTCTTCTTCTTCTTCTTCTTGTTCCTCTTGCTGTTGCTCGTAGAAGTCCTGCATCATCTGGTTCAGCTGTTCCTTCACGGAATCACATGTCCCTAGGACGAAGTTCATGTGTTCCTTGACCTGCTTCCGGTCTCTTTCGTTCTCTTCGGCCATTTCCTGAACCTGGTGCTTCACGCTGTAGATTTGGGATGTCAAACTTTCCACACCTCCTGCAACGTGTTCCTGACTTTTGCGCAAACGCGCAGCTTCCTCTGTGTTCTTCCTGATCGACTCCGCGATCAAGTTCCTTTCTTCTGTAGCGGTCTTCAACGTGACTGCCGCTTCTTTCAAGGTCTGAAGTTCCTTGACGATCTCTTCTGAGCTTTTGCTTGAACTCGCGCTCGCTTCGATGGCTGCTGAGGTTCCTGGTAAGGTGCCTTGACCTGCTACTGGGCGTACTAGTTCCTGGATACCTGAGCGTTCTGCGAGTGTTCCGCAGAGTTCCTTGAGCTGCGAAAGCATCTCACTACATGTTGTTCCATGAGCTGTTCCTGCAAACGTTCCTAGCTCACATGCACTCGTGTCACTGCATATGCCGTCCTGCTCGCATGCACTTGCACAACAGAAAACATGTTCCTGAAAGTCTGCCTGAAACTCTTCTTCCTGAACACAACTCTCAAAACACTGTTCCTTAAAACTCTGAATCTGAAGACTGTCCGAAATACCTGAAATTCCTGCAAACAACAAAGCTGCAAAAGACAAAGTTCCTGGGCTCTTGATCATCCTTACAACTGCTTTAGCTTGTGTTTGGGCCTTGTGTTCCTTGAGCTCTTCTCTACCTACTGGTTCGTTCTCGCTGGTCTGAAAACCTAGCCAGTGTAACAACAGTCTGATACTCTTCGCTGAAAGGGGCTTGGTTCCTATATCAGCTGTGTTTTCCTTGGTTCCTACTGGGTGAACACTAATTGTTCCTTCTTTGTGGAGGTCTTGAAGAAAAAGGGTCCTGATCTGCAAATGCTTGACTCTACCTACACCTTGCCTTGTAATAATTCCTCTATCTGCAGAAGAATCCATATACAAGTGTACCTTGCATTGTTTCCTGGTCAAGAATTCCACTGCTTCCTTCAACAAGATAGAATCTGACGCTGCTGACGCTCCTGCGTAGTACTCTGCTTCACCACTCCTCAAGCTAACCGACTTCTGGTTCCTAGAAAAAGAGTAAATGCACTGACCGTCTAAGCAAACAATTCCTGAAGATGTTGAGCGCCTTGTGTCCTTCTTTCCTGCCCAATCTGAATCACTGAAGACTTCCAAAAGGTGGTGTTCCTTGGGCCTTGTTCCTGTAAAGTCGTAGTTACCATTCCTAATGCATTCATTGAGATTACTGAGTCCTCTGGGTGTCTTCCTGTACACTAGATGGTATCCTTCAGTTCTCGACATGTACTGCACTAGGTGGACTAAGTGCTTCCAAGAACCATGTGTCGGTTCCGACATCTTGGAGGCTAAACCTCTCACGGCAAACTGCACGTCAGGGCGGTCCTGACTGACATACAAGAGTATGCCAACGCTCTTCCTGAACGATGCTGCTTGTTCCTGGTTCAAGGTCTGAGTGTTGTCCTGTTCCTGCGACTCTTGGGTGCACGGAGTTGGCTTTGAGGCTTTTCTGGTAAGCTTCAGTTCTTCCTTAAGCTTCACAAGATACTTCGGGTCACTCGTGATGTGGAGCTCGTGATTGTGGTAGCTGAATTTCCTTTTAAGGAATCGGATTGTCTGGTGTGACTCTCCTACTTCAAGTTCCTGCTCTGTCAAGAAGGGGCCTTCAACCTTTAGTTCGTAGGTTTCTCCCAGCTTTCCTAGCTTGGGCTCTAGGTGCCTTGTTTTCCCTGCTGCCTGAATGTCATCTACATGCACAACAAGTATGCTGTTCCTGTCGTCACGAAACAAAGTAGGGCAAGCTTTGCTCCTATCAAAGTTCTGCTCTTTGAGGGTTCCTGCAAAATGATCACTCCATAATAGTGCTGCATCTCGCTGTCCTGGAAGTACTCTAAGCAGTAACAAACCTTCGTTCCTACAACTAGGGTCCTGGTCGCCAAACAGATCCACATATTCCTTTGGGAATTGACATGCACATCGGGTCCTTTGTGGTACCTGCAAGAATGCGTCCTTGACATCAATGGAGTACAAGGCGTGTTCCTGTTGTAGTCCCAAAATAGGGATAAGTCTCACCAACGATGCACTTGTTGCTGGGCTGAATGTGTCATTCCTTACTTCTGCTGCTTTGAACTCTCTCGCGACTAGCCTAGCTCTCCTTGTCCATCGGCCGTTCCTGAATCTCCAATCGAAGACGAATTTCGTCGTCAACCACTTTGTTCCTTGGTTGCTCTCTTCTTCTTCTGTCTCTCTCTCCTCTTCTCTCTCGAGTTCTTGCAAGGATTTCCTTGCCAATGCCTTCATCTCGGTGAGTCTGTTGATCTCTGTGAGCATTGCCTCACGATCCAGTTCCTGCAACTGGGCTTCTGCAACTTCTGGAGGTCCAGAATCTTCGCTCTTGAAGATGTCTTGTTCCTCGTCGGAATCGCCAATGTCCTAATACGAATCTTCCCAGAAAATGTCCTCTGTACCTGGTTCTGCTTCAGGTAATTCTTCATCATTGTGCTCAAATACTCTTCCTACGTTGAACGGAGGGTACTTCTTCTTGGGAGAATCAATCTTTGGGATCTTGGAACCT